AAAGGAGATACAGAAGGATGTATCCTTCATCTGATTACCAGATTACCATTAATGCTGTGAAGAATGGGTGGGACTGGTAGCTACTTATTTAATTGTAAAATTAGGCACTGGGCTAAGTGCCTTGCAGAATTAATTAAATTTTTTTTTTTTTTTGTCTTTTATTCTTGTCTTTTTCCGTGTCTGGCAATGGTAGCTACTTATTTAATTGTAAAATTAGGCACTGGGCTAAGTGCCTTGCAGAATTAATTAATTTTTTTTTTTTTTTTGTCTTTTTTTCTTGTCTTTTTCCGTGTCCGGCAATGGATCGCAACCCTCAGTGTTGTCCCCGTACCGGACTGGGGACCGGCAACGGAATCGCAACCCTCGGCGCCGCTCCCGCGCCTCGCTCAGTCAGTGAGCGGGAACGGGTCTGCATGTGGGATCCGAACCCTCGGGTGGGAGCGCCGCTGCGCTTCCCAAGCGGCGCACTATCCAGTGCGCCACCGGGCCGGCCCCAGAATTAATTAATTTAATGGTTATGCTGACCTTATGAGACAGTATGCACAGTGTTTTGAAAACTTTGTTTTGGAGTCAGATTGCCTATTTACACATTCTGGCTTTTGTACTTGCTAAGTATGTGACCCTAAGCAAGTCACTTAAATGCTTAATGTCTCATCACTAAAATCAGGATGATACTAATAGCACCTACTTTAATAATAATAAAAGTTGTTATAAGGGTTAAATGAGTTAATGCATCACACTTAGAACAAAGCTTGGACAATAGTAATCACTCAATAAAGGTTTAGTTTATTACTATGCTTCCCATTTTCAGATGAAGAAACTGGGGAATAGAGAAGTTCTGTTTAGTTTAAGCAACTTCCCCCCGCAAACAAGCAGTAGAGTCAGGACTCAAACTCAGGTCTGTTGGACTCCAGAGCTACTAGAGTTAGAGGTCTCCATTGTCAATGACAATGTTCAAATATTCTAAAGCCTATGGTTGAATGACTGTGAATCAACAGTGACTCCAGCCAAACAACTCAAACTTTAGCCCTGGCAAGTGTTTTAAAAACCAGCTCTGCATCAGAAAAATGCAAATTAAAACCTCAATGAGTTATCTTCTCACTCCAGTTAGAATGGCTATTATCAAACAGACAAAAAATATCCGGTGTTGGAGAGGGTACAGAGAAAAGGGAGCTCTCCTACACTGTTGGTGGGAATGTAAATTGGTGCAGCCATTGTGGAAAACAGTCTGGAGGTCTGGAGGTTCCTACAGAACTAAAAATAGATCTACCTTATGAGCCAACCATCCTACTACTGGGCATGTATGCAAAGGAAATGAAATTAAAGCATTGAAGAGATACCCGCACACCCCGTTCATTGCAACACTATTCACAATTGCCAAGAAATGGAATCAACCTAAATGCCCATCTATGAATGAATGGATACAAAAGACCCTGTGGTATATATACACAATGGAATACTATTCAGTTATTTAAAAAAATGAAATACTGTCATTTTGCAGCAACGTGGATGGAACTGGAGACCATTATGTTAAATGATGTAAGGCAGGCACAGAAATACAAATACCACATGATCATAATCATAAGTGGAATCTAAAAATAAATAAATAAATAAATAAAAAGTGGTTCTTCTAGAAGTAGAGAGTAGAATAATGATTACCAGAGGCCAGGAGGGGGTTGGGGAGAGCGGAAGTAGTGGATTAACCATTACAAGCTGTGCTATCTATTCTAAGTGAATCAATGTACAGTATATGCATGTATTGAGAACACACTGTACCCCACAAATATGTACAAATGTTAAAATTTTAAAAAATAAAAAACTTTAAAAACCAGCTCTGGACACTCAGAAGAGGATCTACAGAACTTGCATAAGGCACAAAGAGGGATTTGGCCTGAACTAGAAAAGGCACCATTCTTTCAGCCAAAACTGTCCAAGGGCTGTTTTGTCTTATTTTGGCTTTTGTTTATTTTGAGAGTTAGGAGAAATTAAAAGTTTACAGGTAAATCTCACTATATATCATTTATGATCTGTTAAAATTGTGCTTAACTGTAGGTAGTTCTTATCACAAAGTATACTTTAATAATTCTTATATAACCTTTTTTGATGTTTTCACATATGGTTCTCATGTAAATAACACCTCCAGGTATTATAATATTCTTAGACTGAATGAAACCTCCCAAACTATTGTATTCATGATTTTGACAGCCAGTTTTGGCAAACAGGAGAGAAGGCATTTGCCCTAGAATAGCTTATTCTGACATGGGTGTTCTACTTATTTCATTAAGAAACTCAGTGTCCTAAATTGACTATTTCATAAAATTCATGTCCAAATAAATGGTGGAAAAGTGGAAGGACAAAAAGACCAGCTAGCTCCCTCCAGCCCCTTCAAAGAGTCGCTAGTCTCACTCATGAGGGCTCTGCCTTTATTACTCTATCTCCTGAAGGCCCCACCTCTTAATACTGTCACACTGGGGTTAAATTCTAACATACGAACTTTAAAGGGACACATATATTCAAACCATAGCAAGGTCTTTACTCAGAGGTCACCTTCTCAAGGAGGCCTTCCCAGGGCTCCCTATCGAAACTTTCAACCCAATGTCCCCACCCCAGTGCTTGTTACCCACCCCTGTAATGCCTTTTCTCCTTAATCTATGTCACTGTCTAATGCAGTATATTTTACTTATTTATCTTGTTCATTTTCTGCCTCCCCCACTGGATTCTAAGCTCCATGAAGACAGGGATTTTTCTCTGTCTGTTTTGTTTATTGCCGCTTCCCCATTGCCTGTCACATAGGAGGCACTCAAAACATTTTTGTTAAATGTTGCTGAATTTCATCCAGACAAGATTGAGATCATAAACTTTCTACATGAAAGGACAGCATAAAGATTTTCCATTTATACAATTGTTAGGTATTCAGTCAGTCCTAATTAATAGTTTTGAAATCAATTCTAATTATCTGACAACATGATGTCTAAACGGAGGTATTTATATTTTCTGTTTATCCCACTTTCTGGAACATGTGATAGCAGCTTTCTACCACAAAAACATTTTTAGATTAAAATTACTTTGCTCCCTATGGTTATCTGTGGGCACTTGTAACAAATTGTTTGCTAGTGCTAAAGATGCCAGTGCTGATTGGCCATTGGGAACGCTAAAAAAACTTTAAATTTCAGCAAAATGCCCAGAGACTGCTAATCCTGCAGAAGAAGCCAGGTATTCTGAAGGGAAAAGATACCAGGTAATTTGGCTCTCTTGATGTTCTTGATCGGAAATAGCTTTATATCATAGTTGTTTACATTTTCAAGATGCTTGCCACCAAGGTAGGTTATTCCTTTCAAAAATAAATGCAAATTGAAAATATCCTCTACTGAGCACAACTGTGTAATATTTAGTGCTTTGTTTTATAAAATAGGAAGTTTATTACTAAGCTCTAGAAATCATCAACTAAAACTGATAGTTTGCTAGCAACTTTCTCTTTGATTTGACTGTCAACATTATAAAGATCCACAGAAGCTCCAAGAGTGATTTTACTCTATACCTTCACTTGCAAACCAGGATCAGGAGAATCTGATTATACTTTCAAACATTCTTTATGCTGATATTTCTGCTGATCAGCATTAAGTCATTTGATAAGTAACTTGTATTGTCCTGATCTAAAAAATGCTTAGGAGGCTAAATAATAGTTAGAATTAAGGTTCTTGTAATTGTATTAATTGAGAAGAGAATAGCCTAGCATTTTAGAATATATTTAATAGTCATACTTATTTCTTCAAATAAAAGTTTTCACGTGGAAATGTTTAAATATTGCAAGAATATTTAGATTATTTTTCCCATTAAAAGTGTTTTTCCTCTAAGTAATAGCAAAGAGTGGCAGTTAGTGAAATATTTAACGTTCATCAAAACCAACAGACTGGTAGTCCAAAGCTACATTGGCTTTTTTTTTTTTTTCTCAATCCAATGGCTATTTGACTTAAATGAGCTTGCTAGATCCTGTTAGTATATTTAAATATAAATATGTGCCTTTATCCATCAACTAAATGTTAATGTTTTAAACTTCATTTTGTGGAGTCCAATATAAAATATCAAGTGCATTTAAGTCAACTACATATAGATTTTTTTGAAATAAGATAAAAGAACAGAAACTTATTTAAGGTGATACAGAGTCTTAATTAGAATACTGGCTCTATAGCTACATTGCCTGGATATTAATCCCAGTTCTGCCCTTTAATACCTGTGAATTCTGTGGCAAGTTATTTGACTTTTCTATGTCTGTTTCCTAATCTATAAAACAGGCATAGTAATGCCACCTAACTCATAGGGTTGTTACAATGTTCAAATTATTGAATACATGTAAAATCCTTAGAATAGTACTTGGTTCATTTTAGTATTCAATAAATGTTAGCTATTAATTTAAGTATTATACAAGTTGTTTCACTTTCCAGCTCACAAATGACTACTAATTCAGATACATTGTAATGGATGTGAGGACATATGTTGGGGCAGCAGCCTGGAGGCAGATAAGCTTTCACTCCCCATAGACTTCAAGAATCTGTTATGAGGTTCTACATTAATTTAATGTCATTTTTGAGCTATACAAATAATTAAATTAAATGAGCTTTTTCTAAAGACAAGAGAAAAAGTTAGGGCTGACAACACAGCAACTAAATATGAGTCTATACAATTTATTTCTAGCAACTGACTTTATTCTAATGACATTAAACAATTTCATTTTCACATAGGAATAACTAGACATATGAAGGCTCTTAAACTGAAATATCCACACTTGGATATAAATAAACTATACATAGTTTTATATACATTTATATAGTGTGTATATATGTATACACACATATGTATATGTATATCACAAAAGGAAACGGATGCTAGGAAGAAGGATGTTTATATATACCTCGGTGTTTTATTTCTTCTTATGGCTGTGGTTCATAATTGGCAAAGCTTTGAGGCACAATATTATTGTCTTTTCACAGAGATTCTTAAAGATGCAAGTTGTCTGTGTGGGACTGCTCCTTTTCAGTGTGACCTGGGCGGCACCAGTAAGCATTTATAAATTCATATATGTTTCAGATCATGTCTTGCTTTTTTATTTTTCTTTTTAAGCAATGTCTATTTTAAATTAGTAGCATTTATCTAATTCAGTGACAATAAGAGACCAAGCAAATAGAAAGCATCCAGCATTTAATAAAAATGCCTGCCACCACGGAGGCCCTCAACAAACATGCACTGAATTACAAGATAACACCATGTTGCTTTTTTTTTTGACTGCTGGCTGGTATGGGGATCCTAACCCTTGACCTTGGTGTTACTAGGCAGCGCTCTAACCAACTGAACTAACCAGCCAGCTCCATGTTACCTTTTAAGCAACACTGAAAACAATATTTTTGAGAATACCAGCAGCCAGCCACAGTGTTTCACATTAGCTGACACTAATGAGTAGTACTCAAGGACTCAAATTATAACACGTCAAAAGACCTTTCAATAGTTTACAAAAATTTTAAAGAATTTGGTGTGAATGTTTTAAAGCTAACCAATTAGATTTTGTAAATAGATGGCAATACAAAGGATGAGAACTTGTCTGTATTTCTTGCGATGTCCCAACACTGTGGGATCTTGCTAACTGTTTTCTCTTCATCAATGAGGTTAAAGATGGAAAGTAGTGCCCCCAAGCTGAACTCAAATTAAGCTCCTATTCCTTTTGTCTTTTCTTCTCTCTGACTCACCCAGATGAGTATTCAGGATGTGACCAAATTATCTTGTGAAAATGCTGAGTGTTATAGATATTTTCTGCAATGCAGTCACAGTGCTAATTAGATAATGTCTGAACAGCATCCTAACTTCTCAAAGTAACCTTTTCAGTTGGAGAACCATGGAAACAAGTAGTCACTCCATTCCCAGTCATAATTAAATATAGGTCCTGAGTGAGTGGGTGGCCAGGTGGGTAACCAGACTGACAAGGGTGAATGAACCATGCATTTGGTGAGGACAGAAGAAGTTGGGGAAAGAATGTCCCCTCTGAGCACACATCCTTTCCCAGTCCTGTAGGGACTGGACTACCTAAGACAGACACCTGTCAGGCCCAATCCACACCACCTAGCTCAATGAGGTCAGGGCTTAGAGGCAGGCATTTAGGCACGATGGCAGTAGAGGGGGTCTTGCTGACCCAGCTCAATCCAACCAACTGCGGATGAGTTTATTTTAAGCAACACATTTCAAGGAACAACTGGAGTGGTGCTTCCTGACCATTTCCCAGTAAATGTGCAATGTCAACATCAATCTAGTGACCACTGGTCAAAAGAGGGTGTTAGTTTTCCTCTCCAGAGACAGACAATGCCATCTCCATCACAGGGCCACATGCAAGCACAGGAAAACTGCCTAGTGGGTTTGGGGGAAGAAGGGAGGGCTGTGTATTTCAAATGAAACAGGCTCAACAAGGACACAGAGACAAAATTTTGGAATTGTGAAGAGCTAAATGTGATGTTTTCTCCCAGATATATGGATTCCATTTTAGCAATTACCTAAATTATTTAATAATAGATTGGTGATATAAGAAATTAGTACATACTGAGTCACTTACATACGACTTGGAATTATAAGCCAAATTCCAGGCAATGTAAAAATGGAAGAAAATAAAAAATGATTATTGGGCCATGCAATTCAACTGATATTCATCAGTGGGCCATTAGACTACAAAGACTTTGTTATAAGTCACAATAAATCATGTACTATACTAAGGTACTCTATACCGTCAAGTGTGTTTTTAGTACAAACCTGTGTGTGTGTGTGTGTGTGTGTGTGTGTGTGTGTGTGTGTGTGTGTGTGTGTGTGTGTGTTCTATAAGAAGGTGCCTAATATTCCACACTGTCATTTTTTTCTTTTGCTTAATATCTATCCATTTCATTTTTATCTTTTCTTCTTCCTATAGCCCATTTCCAGAACTGTTTTCATATTCTTGAAGAATGACACAGTGGTCTAAATTTATATTCACAAGTGTTTTAGTCCGTTTGTGTTGCTATAACAGAAATACATGAGACTGGGTAATTTATAAGGAAAAGAGGCTTATTTGGCTTATGATTCTGGGACAGCTGCATCTGGCACAGGCCTCAGGCTGCTTCTACTCATGGAGGAAAGCGGCAGGCAGCTGGTGGGTACAAGCAGATCACATGGTGAGAGGAAGCAAGAGAGAGAGAGAGAAGGTGCCAGGGTCCTATAAACAACAAACTCTCATGTGAACTAACAGAGCGAGAACTCACTCACTACCCCTCCTCCCCCAGGGAGAGCATTAGGGGGGGGGTGAGGGATCCGCGGGGGGGGGGCGATCATTTTCCGGGGGGGCCACATTGGACATCAAATTTCCACATGAGTTTTGGAGGGGACAACACATCCAAACTCCATCAACAAGATCATATAAGAATCAGCATAAGAAAGAAATGCAATAAAGAATAAAATTATAAAATATGTTTTGAAGATATTTAATATAAACTTCAGGAACATTTCCTTTTATTACTAAATATTTTTTTTCATATTTAAACATAAAAGCTGATTAAATATTTATTATTTTCACCCTGAGACCTTGAGGCAGAAGATTTAGGTTAAAATATCTCCTCTGCTTTTACTACACTACTTGCTGTATAAGTGCAGACAATTTTGTTTCTTTCACTGCCTGTCTCATAGGGGTTATTATGGGATTTGAATGAGATTATATATGTTAAAGCAGTTTACAAACTGTAGAGTGCCGTATAAATATAAGGTGTTATTGACAAACTATCTTTTGCTTCTAGAATGGAATAGAATATGAGGCATATATGCATTGGAGTCCAGCCAAGGGCTATTTCTAAGATAATTTTATCAGTCAGAGGCAACCCAGGAAAACAAAATCCATGGCAGGGAGTTCAGTAGATGAATTTTATTTGGGGAACTAGCTATAAGGTGTAGGAAGAACAGAACAGAAAAATCAAGGGCAGTGAGGCAAGCCAAAGATTGAAGATCTACTAGAAGAACAAACAGCCAGCGGTGTTCCTAGTCCCCTGGGTGGGGGCCCCCCAGCAGGAACTAGGACCACAAAGGAAATGACTCCAATTTTAAAGATGCAGCCCCAAACAGAGAGAGCAGGGAAGGACATGCCTTGGCTTCTCTGCCCTTCCACCTTCTTACACCAGGCCTCCATCAGCCAAACCCAGACTGCAGCCAGAGGCAAAGGTGCTTGGAATATGAAATTTGTAGAAATCAGCCAAGATTGAGCAGGAGAAATATAGGAACTGAATGCAAGAAGAATTACCAATACCTTACTGCAAGGAACAGCCTCTCTGTATAAAACAAAATACAGAACTTTACAGTTTATTCAGGAAAAACACTCTCCAGGTGAACAGGACAGCTGGCCTGAGTGGCCCTCACCCTGCTTACCTCTTTATTTACTCTTTCCCTGGAGGGTGACTCTCCCTTGTATGACTGACCCACCATAATGCCTGCTTCCACTGTGGCACACGCATTTAAACAACAACCAGTCTGATTCATTGGTTCCCCTTGCTGCATCTGACACAAGCTAGGAGTTTCAAAAAGCAACAGTGAAATAAAAGTGAGAATAAACAAATTGTAGTATCTGTTCCTTCTACAACAACTTGCTCCAGGATTCTCAGGTCCTGTTCTGCATGCTTGTCTGTGACATCTAAACTTCAGCCCAAAGCTCTGGGACAGCTGCTTGGGGCTATTCCTTCTTAGTTTCTGGCCTTTATCCACCACAGTAGCTACCCTTCAACCCAGGTATCAAGAAATTTTGACACTTTTATGCCAAACCAAGAGAAAGAATTTGCCCCACTCTGCTGGCCACCTGAATGTTCTTTTCCCTGAAAGAAACATCTGGGCAGGTGACTGGTGACAATAAGATTCCATCGCTAAGTATGATCTTACCCTCACATGCAGGGCTATGATTTTACTGTTGCTGGACCATCAGCAGCATCATATCTTAATTCAATATGATGATTACTAAACTTATACAATCAATGCATTTATATGAGGGGTATTCAAAAAGTTCATGGAAAGATTTGTATTATCTTCTAATTCCAGTTTTCCACGAACTTTTTGAAGTACCTCAGACAATCTGCATTAGTGACCTCTGATTTTAGTTACTTTATTTTTTTATTTTTTATTTTTTCCTTTTTGTCTTTTTTCGTGACCGGCAACGGATCGCAACCCTCAGTGTCGCGCCCGTACCGGACCGGGACCGGCTACGGGATCGCAACCCTCGGTGTTGCTCCCGCGCCTCGCTCAGCCAGTGAGCGGGAACCGGTCTGTATGTGGGATCCGAACCCTCGGCGGGAGCACCGCAACGCTTCCCAAGCAGCGCACTATCCAGTGCACCACCGGGCCTGCCCATAAATAAATATTTTTAATCTTAAAGATTTGATGACTCTTTGCTTTAATAATTTTCTTCAAATCCATAAATACCTTATTTCCTTCAACTTAGAAATTCAATTATTTTTTACCCCTGGAACTTGCTTCCTTGGGTCAATAATTCTTGTTTCCAGACCATGTCAATTTTATTTATTTATTTTTTTATCTGTGTCTATCTTAGGCACATGATAGGCTAGTAAATACTGGTGAGTGGACACATTTTAGATTGCAGTAAATAGTGATGATCAAGA